ATTGATGAGAAGGGTTTTATCAGTTTCACCAGTGCAGAAAAAATAAATATTCGATGAGAAGGGTTTATCAGTTTCACCAGAACAGGGGCAATGAGATTTATGGCCAATAATTACTTCAGAGCTATAGGCATAACAAGAATATGTTTTTTTTCCCCCATTTCCTCGTATTAATTTTAATTTGAGAGAAACAAATTTATTTTGTTGTGTTCAGAACACAACAACAGCATGCCCTGGTTCGTGAACATGCAAAGTGACTGTTTTGTACTAGAGGATTGGTTACCTGATCAATGCACGCAGGAAAGAGGTCCAAATTAGTGAGGAGTAGATTCTTCAGAGCCAGTTTTGCAAGAGAAACTCGATGGTGACCACCTCTATGCCTATCACGGTTCGTTGTCCCTCGCCCGCCATCTCCAGCATATTTCGAGTAAGACGGGGTTCTTGGATCAGCTGGTGAAAACCCAAAAGGCGCCCTAGGCGCAGGCTCAATAAACAGGCTATTTATCCATGAAATCACCCTACCACTCATCTTTCTCGCGTTGTCATCAAAGCAAGGCCCATATAACAGAGACGCCATTGCATTCATGGAAGCCCATTGTATTGCCTCAACCTGTTCAGCCAATTCCTTATCAAATGACAGCTTATCGATCGAGTCTTTTGACCGCGAGTGCTGACTGGACTTGTAGCGCTCAACTTCACGCCTATAATCACTACCACCGTCCTGATTCCACGTGCCACCAGTATCATCACCCCAGGAGAGAAGGAGATCGAAAAGTCTCTTTCTTGTCCTAACGTCAAATTTCTCCGACTTTGAATCAACAAACTCTGGAGCCAAAAATCGCAGAACAGAAGCAAGTGAATATCGCAGGGGTTGCATCTCTTGGAAATTCTCCGGAGGCGAAGTCAAAATCTGTCGGGTTGTTTCGTCAATGAACTTCAAGTAATGAAGTCGGAAAACTGGCTTGCGGCCAAGCATCCCAGGCCATATTTTCTCAGCAACTGTGCGATATATATTTGCAATGTGGATACGGAGCTCTTCACGGCGAGATTTTTGACTCTGCATATATGCATACCAGGGATATATCAGTAAAATGAGGACTAAAATAGAAAGGGGAAAAATCTATACTGCATTTATCTTCTCCAGCTGTATGAAATAGCAAATGAGGTATTTACCATACATGAAATTCATTAACTCATACAGCTGCATTTTGCAGAGTGGTGTGTTAAAATTGGTTANAAGAAAAGAAAACAGAAAATGGCACAATTCCTCTTACCAAAGACTATTTAGGCACCATGGAATGACTTGGATTTAGATAAATAAAACAAAAGTACAAAGTATAATTCACGTAGTGGTGAGCGAGAGGAGAATAGAGGTAGAACAACATTTTTAGCAATACTAACTGATGTTTTATCATGGCATTTACCTTCCACTTTGGCTTTCCCTCGGTTTCTAGAGAAACTTCATCTATAAATATGGCAAGCTCGCTGAACATTATTTCACATATATCCAAATGCGAGTGGCCAAGTGCCATTGTGGCTGCATGCTGCAAAGGGTAGTAACGTGTGTTAATCAAAAAATAGTTCCCCTTTTTCATGTGTGGTCAGGGAGTTATGTTCACAGATAGGATGAGGATCAAACCACTCTCTACGTGTGAGTTTCTACATGGTGCCATTTTCAGCAGACCGAATATGATTATAACCACGTTTAGTTGTTAATGGAAGGAAATCACAGATCATTAATTCAACATACTTGAAGCTTTCAACAGCAGAACCACCCTCTTTTAACAACCTAGACCTAGAATCAATTTTGTGGACACTCCCTTGATCACTCTTAGCATCAAGTTTGAATCATTTTACTCTTTCAGTTAGTTCTAATAGAACCACTATATAATTCTTTCATATATTTTTCTGTTTAATCTATCTGTGTTAAGTTGCATATATTATGTGTTTTCTAATAATAAACAAGGTTGTTAGCAACGGATGGGAAATTGGAGCCACCAAATTCACAGGGCGGCTCTGGCTGATTATTATCTGTTGTACTCAAGTGCACCCTGGAAAAAGTGTGGTTCTAAATCATCCAAACCACATAATTATGAAGTATCCTATAAACAGACAACCTTTCAAATAACTAATAAAACAGGCAGACAGATTCAAAGCAACATTGAAAGATTGTTGGCAGGCAGGAACTACTTACTACTTGTGATTCAGAACCAGATTTGAGGGAAGGAAAAATTAGATGGAATAGTTCTTTTGTCGGTGCTGAACCCCCACCTTCCCGACCATTCAGCGAACATGAGCATGCAAACATTGCATACATGAGCCACTGATCTAGCTTATTGTCTATGTCCTGTGACTGATGAGCCTTTCCACCCAATTCAGCCGGAGTGATATGAGAAAGGCGTTGAATAACCTCTAACCTGGAATGACATTATTAGAATTTGCCCTCCTTCTTATGTTTTGAATAGATAACTTTTTAATAAACAGAAATAAACACTAAATTGCCAATTGAATCTTTCGACTGAAGCATGATGACATTTTTTTCTCTGAAAGAAGGGATGAAAATTCGGCGAGTCGGCGTGGATTTCAGATTGGAATGTAATAAGTTGATGTGCAACAGAGAAAAAAAATAATGATTTGGCTACAACTAGTAGATGGAAATATGTGATGCGAAAAAGAGTAGAAATTGTGAAATTTTGGTTTGGAATCATTTTCTCGAGCAAGGGTTAGAGAATAAGGGAACAAAAATTGAAATGAAAATGTAATCAAGCACACCCTGAGGATCTGAGTGGCTAATGATTCCATTCTGATGATATGGAGAAAATTTGCTGTGATAATTTCTCTATGAGACTCAACTACGGTGAGTTGGTTCACTTTCATGCTTCAACTAACCACCCCCTAAAGCCAACTCATCAGAAACTCATACAAAGTCTTAAAAGGCATTATTTCATATTACCAATCTGAAGACAAATAGTAAATCATGCAGACACTTACTTTGCTTCCTGAACAGAACTAGGACATAGTTCAGCAGCATATTTGACAATCTCACTTACACATCGGGCCCATCTGTTCTTATCAGGACTCTCAAATAGTATAGACTGGAGAGTCACATCAGAAGGAACAACATCAGACTCTCGGTTCAGATCGAAAGGACGGCCAAAGTCAAAATAACAGCTTTGCACGATATCATCCTGCACAAGCAGTGCTCTATAAATTAGACCCTCAGCTCGCACCCATAAGCCAGAGCAAGAAAATAAAAGGTAATAATTAAAATCAAATTGAAAAAAATCTAACAAGACAATTAAATGAAGCCAGATTACTATATCACCCACCCCATTTTCTTCTAGAACATCAATAATGAATATTGGCTCAGGTTCAGTTCTCGCGACATGCTCCGGCCTCTCTTGCATCGAGAGTTCACGTATGTCATGCCATAAAGCACGCACACAACGCAGTAGCTCCAGAGCGGTATGCCTAATCTGACTGTCGACAGAGCTAAGGAATATAAGCCCAACAGCATCTATTTCTGAAGCACGGAACTCAATC